ATATATATATATAGAGAGAGAGAGAGAGAGAGAAAGAGAAAGAGAAACAGAGTTGTTAAAGTACAATTGGTGGTTCAAATCGAACGACCTGCGTTTGACCAATTGAGAACGATTGAATACCGATATTTATGCACCCAGAATGAGCTTTATAGGGAGTTAATATGCTAAACATCCCATTGAAATCTCCGGAATAATAGTGTAACGTTAACTTGATCAACAAATCAATGTTTCTAGGATTAAAAAAATTTAACGAAACCAGAACAAAAAAGAAAGCGCGATTATATGAATATTTAACATTCTTAAACTAGTTGAATATTTATCTACTTGAAGTTGAAGCCGAAGGAAGAATATCAAATTCATTTTTAGTATAGGATGTGTATTAAATGTTGTGTTCTTCATATATATATATATATATATATATACCAGATATAAATCAGAGATATCTAATGTAAGATTATTTTATAAATTACATACATTTGATTGCAAGTATATATATATATGAGTTTATATATACGTAAAAAAATTCTTAAACTATCGATCGTAAAAAGAGGACACACGTAATACACATAGGTATGTATCATGTGAATCGATGGTCGTGAAGACGAACTAACAAACGTAATTAGTTCAATTAGTTCAACGCGTTCGCAGTTCGTTTATGATCTCGTCTTTTCCGTTCGTATAGAGACAACTGTTTTAAAAACACTTAACAACAACGTTCAATGTTCTTTTAATTTTTCTTCTTCATTCTTTTCTTCTCATTTATATTTTTTGTTACATTTCATATTTCTTCGTCTAATAATTTGATTAACAGCAAGCACTTTTTTTTCTGAAACGACGAAGTGAAAGACCACCACGTTATCTATGATTTCAAGATAAGCCTTTATCCCTCGCGAAAATTCTATCCTGTTATCTATCGAGTGCGTTATAAGTTCGATGCTTGCAATGTTCTTTTCGTTAATGTCTCTCTTATTCTTCTTCTTCTTCTCTTCTTCTTTTTTGTTTTGTGGTTTTTTTGTTGAAGTTTTATATTCCATCTAGAGAGATCTTCGTTAGCATCTGGCTCACATATTCGCTATTTATTCGTTATGTTGTTTCTTCTTCGATCGAAGTAATGAGCGACATATGGCACGAGATAAAGTGCTGAACTTCGATCAGACTCCGCGGATCATTAGCATTCTAATTGCACGAAGATATAATCGATATATGGGATCAAATTATTCGCCAATTAAACGATCATTTTAAATCGTCACGAAGAATTTTACCACAACCTAACAGAAATAATTTATACTCGCTTGTAATACGCACTTTAAACGTATGAATATACATCATACTTACTTATTAAATATTCGCACAATGAACAAAGAACATGCATCACCTTTCTAATGTGCGAAATGACGAATATATGCAACACTGTTTAACCCGAACAGAAAAGAACCGAAGGTGTGTATGTGTGAGTAACTAAGAAAAGTGATTAGAATAGAGTTGGTAAAAAAAAAAAATCTGCACGATGTCAGCTCTATTGTCGGCGTATATTTCTTTTTTTTTTTTTCTTTTTTATTTTTTCTTCGTTAGGTCAGGTAAGTTATGGACGTTCGTATGAAAAGATTTCTCTCCCCTGATCTGTCCCCCCCCCCCCCCGATAACTTGGTAATTTAATATTTGTTTTAGAGAATAGATCGCGATAAAGTTCTAAGCTTCTTCGAAAGCACGAAGAAAGTTCGTGCAGCAGCGAGTCTTATCGAAAAAACCGATCGATTCTTCGCGCCATCGCGTTTATGGATTAAGTGGTATGCGAAACTCGCGCCTATATAAAACGTGAAATGCCTTTCGTCAACAATGAGATTAGATTAAATCCTCTTTGCGCAATTAACTTTTGTCCGAAGGATCTTCACGGTATCAAGAGTTTGTTAGAAAATGACTGAATTGGTTTATTCGAGCTGTATATCGAAAGCTTAACACATGTCCATGTAGAACATTTTGTATACGTAGATAAGTATATTACGTCGAGTGAAAGAAGAAGAAAAGAACAACAAAAAATATATAGTATAAAAATGAAGATTAATGTGTGATTACTGTGATTAAATAAAAGACAAATGAAATAGATATAATCTAAAAGATCTGTTTGGTGTATTAAACGCTGAGAAACTTTATGGCACACTTCCAACGATACTACCAACGTTGAACTAAATTTTTTGTTCAGAATATTTCGGGATCTCGAACGATTTACGAAATTGTACAACGATCCCAGAACCTCTCCTCGATTTTTATAAATTAAATTTGATATATCTCTCCCAACGATGGTACTTTACGTTTATCGATATTAAACATTACAACGTTTCTTTTCATCTTTGCGATATTAAAAAAATATCATTCTCAATGATTTATGGATGATATTGAAATTTTATGATAATGTAAACAAGAAAAAAGGATAGAAAAAGTACTTGGTAATATTTTCTGTTTGGTTACATCGATCAACCCAATAACGTCTTGCAATTCTCTCGTATCTTTGCGAAATCACGATCTCAGAATTCGTAGTCACGCCACAACGAAAACGAAAAGCTTTTTTAAAACGGTGAAAATATTTCGCGAGAGCTTTCGTGACACGATCTTCTAACATAAGTAAGTCACGTAGGTATTATACATATATATCAGGGGTTCTCAAATTCAAGATTTAAAATTTAATGAAATAATAAAGACAAATTTATTCTCGTATCTGTGCGTTGTTCTTCTTTTTTTATTTTTTTTAATCATCGAAAAAAAACTCGTGCCGATAAAAGGCCTAGAAAAGTCTAATCCAAAAGCTCATTGTCGTATCTAAATTTATCCAATGACCTTTTGTGATGCTAACATTCATCATTTTATTTCTATTTTGAATGCCTAAGATCGTAGATCATCTCTAGGTGAAATTTATCTTCTAATTTAAATTTAAACCTTTTCCGTTTGGACTAGGTTTTCTATGGTAAATTGTTTTTTAGATTTTTATTAGAGGATTCGAGAAACAATTGAAAATAAGTTATCTCTGAGTGTACCACAATCACGGTGAAGAATATATTATATATGTATCACGCGAGTGAGAGACTCTGTTCTGTATAAAAATAGAATCCTAATATACACCCTTAGCTGGAGGTCGACCGATCGAAAACGAATTCGGAAATAATTTCACCGTAAATGAATTCCATCACAGCCAGAGTCGTGTTCTTAATGACTTTTTACAATATTCATAAGTCGAATGACCTAAAAAGTTTGTATAGTTCCTTGACGATTGGCGAGCAAGCAAGCAAGCAACTTGATATATAGCACACGATTCTCTATTTTCTTACATAAATTTTTACTCGATGGGAGATAACAACTCTTATAAGTTGAAAACAAACCATTTCTCATGACAGACTTTTAATGTTTTATAGAAAATCTTATCGGAATGTTTGCGTATTTGCGTATTTATTTATTTTTAAACATAGCGAAGGCTTTGATTTATCGTTAATATGTATAAATGATAATGTTTGGAAAAAAAGTCGAATTTTTTTAGGATCTTTCGATCGTCGTAGCGAGCTTAATAAATATATTAATATAAATTGTCGAGAATAAATTATATTCTAAGGAAAATTGATGAATAAGACTGTTCTGCATCTAACGTTAAATGATATCAGAATAACTCTCTTTTCTCTTTCACTTTGAACGACAACAGGCATCAATGATAGGAAGAAAGAGTAAAAGGCTGGTCCTTGAACGAAACGAAGGACGTTTCTCATTACCTCGACAAAAAAAATAACATTTCTATGAAATGACGCGTTATTCTTTATTAAAAGGATCAATTATAAGAGGATCATATTCCCTCGTAAGAATTATATTTTATTTTTTTGTCTCGTAGACCGTGAACAAACGTAAAGTTAATTTATTCGTTTAATTTATATACGCGCGCATAAATCGGTTTGTTTGCCGAATAAATTAATTTCTTGCCACGTAATTAAGTATATGCACGTATATATAAGAATTAGAAAATTAAATTACACGATTTTGTACTAGTTTTTCAGCGTTAATGATTAAATTCATTATTGTATCATCGTAGACAACACGTGCACCAATGAAATAGCGTATCAAGAGGAAGAAAAACTTTCGCAGCATCGATTTAACGGATAAAGTTACTATTGCTACGTCTTTACACTAACATAAATGTATAAGTATACATCGTTTAAACAAAATATGTAATGCAATTGTTAGTCGTTCTTTTTTTTATTTATTCCACGTGTTCAAAGACCTCGTCATGATAAACTGCAGAGTAATTAATTTAATCTATGAATAAATTAGCCATTATCTTGAGGAGTACTATGTATTTAACTATTGAAACTAAATTCCATTTCTAAAGTTATCACACGCATATATATATAATATAACATGATAACGCGTTAATAAAAGAATAAGCTGACACAACTTAGGAACAAACTTGAAATTTGTTGCCGTCTTTGTCTTCTTTTTTCCGTCTATGCTTCTTCTTAGATTTCTACGCGCTACGACGTTTTATTAGAAATAATTTCGAAATAATCGAATCGAAGAGAAGAGTATCGTAGATATATAAATAGTTATGTGTGTTTTTTTTCTTTCAAGAATATAAGGAAAACTTACGTAAATGAATATATAATTGATATTTAGTATCTCGACACTTATTGTTAGATAAGAAACTCAAAAAAAAAAAAAACCATGTAAAACTCTTGTCGATTTTCAACACCACAGAATAGGAAAACACTTTATGAGGAATGACCTTGTCGTTTTTATAAAATTCTATTGCGATAGAAATTTCGCGTAATGTATAAAATATTTCTTAGTTCGCGTATGTAATGTAAAAATGGACAAAAAAAAAAAATAATAAAAATGCAAAAGACACGATCGCGACGAGGTATACCTCGCGACTATCACTTGACTATCGTACAACTCGCATCGAGTGTGTTCGGGCTCGTGAAACTTCGGTTTCTGTTCGGTCGTCATCGAATTGCTGCGAAAGCTCAACACTGTAATGTCACTTTTTATTGGAGGAGCTCACGATCGGATGGCAAGTTTGAAATTTCAAACTGTTTCAGAGCAAAATTATTACCGCGTTATATTAAATAAATCATTAAAGTATATTTTTCAATATATAGTGTCGATAATATCAAACGAAATACGAAGAAAAATGTTTATTCGATTAGTTCGTGATTATCATGATAGTTCTTACGTAAAGATAACGGCGTTTGTGATGTAAATGGAAATATACTTGTTACATTTTTTTCTTTCTTCTTATTACTTTTTTTTTATCGTTTTTTTTTTTGTTCAACAATTAGCGAACAAAAACCTTGTTGATAAAACATTGCTATATTATTAAAAATAATTGTATAATTATTAAGAGAAAAAGAAGAAAAAGGTTCGTCCTGCTGACTAATAATAACAGAATGCATATGTGAGAAACGTAGATTTGTCAGACTTGTGTAGGCGTTATGGGTGCTGTCATAGAAAGTTGTGCGAAAAATATCACGACACGTGAGCATAGCATTGCGTTATACATACTTCGATTTACGATACAAGAGTTACAAGTTTGCAAGTATATCTAGATACTAAGTTAGTAGCTAGGGCGAAAACAGTAAATTACTAATACTTAGCAGGATAGCTGAAGAACTTTGATCTTAGACGTATCCATTATTCTTTATAATAACGTTTTATCTTGCAATCTAACTTGATTTCATTATATATGAGAATTATATCGTAATAACGATAAGATAAGTCTTATCGAACTTCTTTGTTATAAAAAAAAAGGGAAGAAAAGAAGGAAAAGGTATAAAAAAAGCGTGTATTTAATTTCATAAAACATTTATGAGATTTTATTTAAAATATATGATACTTACCGTTCAAACAATTTTTGTCTTGATCGTTAAGAGAAAATACTTTTTATTGGAATAAGTGTCAAGCATCTCATCGCCAACTCGACCCTGAGGCATGACTTCAAAAGGACGACAAGAACTTCTTTTGATCATTAGATTTTATTATAGCATAATTCAGGCATTGTGAGAGAGTATAATGGAGATGGCTTTCAAGAGTACCGTCGGCAATGAGACCACCGATTTGAAATAATTATAAAATGATCTCGATGCGGTACGATATAGAAAGTTCATTGTACCCGAACCTTTCATAACAATTTCTAGATCCGTCTAATCGATCAAGCTAGAACCGTAACCTCCCACGACTTGCTAATTGACCATAACATTTCATCTAATTATATTATTTTTCTAATGTTATCGTAACCGATGAATACCAATCATTTCAAATGAATAGCTCATAGAAATCACGGCCATTACACCCTACCGATGTTCCCTGCTGACATATTATAACAATGATTTGTCAAGTATTTTTATTAAAAGTTTATTTTTATCTTCTTGTATTCGCTAATAGACGGCAAACAATAAGTTTATTTCAGTCATTTTTGAAATACTATCCGAGCACTTTGGAAGATTTTCTTGAGACGTTTCATGGTATATTTATATCACATCTACTATTGTTTGCAATCGAATTATATGTATCGTATTACATTAATGGAAGGATCCGTGATGTGACCCATTTGCATGGGCTTGGCTCAACTACCCAAGACTGACCGCGTTAAACTACCTTATCAAGTGCAACATCCATTAGCATCTGTAAAACGAATCTTAAATGGCTACACTCTTATAATATGTCTTCTTATAAAATAGCACATATTTTGGCTCCGTTATATTGTATGATTTCTCCCCCGTAGAAACTTTTTTATAAAAATAAATGACTACGACGAGTTAACGATTCTTTTTTATTTGATAGAAAATAAAATGAAATATGAAAAGCGCGGAAAATCTAAAAAGGTCGAACGAAAAGCGTCGTCGGTGTCATCGGTGTAATAATTGTTATGTAACATGGCGTAGAAATCGAGACCAGCAACTATGAAGCACGAATACGTGACTCCGTCGACGGCCACGATAAGTGACACGATATGCAAATTTAAGTGGAGGAAGATCCGTTCGTTTAAATGCGTCGAAGGTCTCGCTTACAAGCCCACGCAAATTTTTTAAACTTTGTCTTAAGGATCAGTTCCGCGAGTGTTGTCATTAAAATATACTTCAATTAGGGAGAGTAAATGATAATGTAATTTAAGTGGAAAATATTCCCTTCGCGAAAGGATAAATTATCTATAATCTTTTTTTCGTTAAACATATATTTTTTCATACTTCATTCTTTCTTTTATTTTATCGTCTTATTTAAAATTTGATATACGTACGTCTAAGACGTACATAATAAAACGCGTTCATTTAACAAAGTTAATAACAAAAACCTGATACTAATATGTAAAATTATTAAAGTTGCTTACCCATATTTTGTCTTTTTTCTATGATTCCTCCATATAAGAGACGATCTATCGAGATTAATTTTTTCTTAAATATCGAACTTTTAATATAATGGTTAATAATATTTCACCTTTCAAATGTTAAAACGATTTTACATATTTTACATTAATATAACCGCGCTTATTTTTAAATGTCGTTTTAAAATATCGAGATAAATCGATTTGAAGAAAGAGAGCTATCTAACGGCACATTTTAGAACTTATTTTTCGTTTTACTCTGTAGGTATTGCGAATGTTAGCATAGTTGTAGCCATCTTAGATTTATTATTTCCCTATGTCCGATCCTATACTGAATCGGAATTCGAAGTTCCTGTAATATTTCTAACCTCTTCTTTAACGAATGTTCCGGTATTTACTAGTTTAAAATTCATTCATTCGTTAGTACTTATTTAATCTAGTAAAAATAATATGATGTCGCGTTCAGTGCGAGCAGAGACTCGAAGTCGTGCCAAAGATGATATTAAACGTGTAATGCAAGTTGTTGACAAGGTTCGCCATTGGTAAATGTTTTCCTAAACTGTATTTTATGTGTGTTGTTTATGAAGAAAAACAATCATATCTTTCGCATATTGTACGTAAGAAATTATTTCTTATTTGCAATCAATTATCCAATGTTTGTTGGAATAAAATTAAATTTTATTCTCCAAAATATTTTTAATCAAAAAATGTTTTTCCAAAAGATGTGGCATAATTTCTATGTGAAATATAATGTTATTCATTAAAAGAAGTTAAAATTGTACTTTCATCACATTTTCAGCTTGTTTATGTTAATAAATAATATACAATTTGTATGCGCAGGGAAAAAAAATGGGTAACGATAGGTGAAACAACTATGAAAATTTATAAATGGGTACCAATTTCGACTCTTGATCAGGTATTATAGTTATATTCTTATCAATGTACAATAGAATAATTCTCTATTGAAAAAGAATGAAATATTTTTTAGAAGAAGAAGGGAAAAACTGGATCGGACAAAGAAAATGGAATACCTAGGAAAGGTGGAATAGATAATTCTAATTCAAATTTTGGCCTAACAGAAGACTCAAATACTTGTAAGCAAATTAATTCTAAATAATATGAAAGTAAATGATGAAGTTATTATTAATAAGTAATAATTGCATTTTCGAATACGACAGGTTTTTCAACAGTAAGTGATTCTCAAGGAATGACTGACTTCTCAACACATTTAGGATTTTCTGAAGATTCTAATTCTCAAAATAGTGAACCAGCTCCTAAGAGGTTAAAGACTGATTAAAATTATAATTATATTTATAAATCGATAAATAAAATTTTTCTTCATTTTTTAATTTCACATATCTGCATATAACGAGTTTAGGTTGAAAAAATAATCTCTTAAATATATGAAATAGATAGTATTTAGAGAATTCTATACTTCGTGATTTTATAAGTAATTGATTTACTGCACGAAGTGTTCTCTAAATGGATGGAAAAAGAAAAATAGGAAAATTTTGTTTATTAAATTTCATTCATATCTAAGATCTATTAAATAATATATTATACGAGAAATTAAATCTTGAAAACATTTTAGATTTGTATATTAAGGTTTATTTTTTTACATATAAATTTACTATCAATTTTCTTTAAGCGAGTTTAAATATTATGTATTAATAATATTTTGAGATTTAGTGAAACAAATTTTATTGACAATGAATGTGCAATCCATTTATTATTTATTTCAAAAATATTCTGTTAATAATAATAATAATAAGTGTTTAACAAATTTGAAATCATGAAAGTTCAAATGTTCTGTTAAATGTATTGTACATTCAGAAGTGTTTAAGTATTGTATTGTTTTTGCAAACAAATACAATACTCAAAAAAAAAAAAAAAGCTCAACTTCTGTTTTTATGTAAAATATTATGTAAACTATATCTTGACATATATACATTATTTTTCAAATTAATTCTAATGAAAATTTACTATTATATTTCTTCATTGTACATATTTCAAGCATCGCGTTACATGTCGATTAAGATTTTAAGGTCACTTGCATTCCTTCACATTTTATTATAGCACCGTGACATGTACAAAATAAGCTCTTTGTCTCTTATAAATAAATAATGCAAATCACATGTATCATCCATGTTTTAATAGGACTTTCAGATTATGTATGTATTCTAATGAAATTGTTTATATTGATAATTAATTTCTAAATAATATTTATATATTGATTGAGATTTAATTATTGGGATTAAAAGTTATTTAAATTAAATAATTTAAACAACTTTATAATATTGTAGAACATTCATATATATTATTTTTAAGAATCGCACTGTAGAATGTGTATAAAGACATATATAATTGTAATGACCAAAAACTGACAAGTAACTGCCCTTTTAAAATTCTTCTGCGAGTAACAAAATGAAAAGAACTTCAACTATATTATACATATATAATTAATAAAATATAAAGCAGAAGTAAATAATAAATATATATATATATATCTGTGAAAGTAATATGTAACTATCTTGCAGAAGCATACACACATAC